TTTTTATCAGGCCTGACTATGTTCATTTGAACCAAGTTCATGACCCCATACCAAAACTTTGTATGACCTTTAAAGAATTACACATACAGTAGCACTACAACTTGCATGGTAAATAAAGGGTTCCATGTGAGGAAAGTGATATGCTCTGTACTTACCGGGAAAACAATTACAATGCATGAAAAATTTGCAAATTTATCCATGGTCTAGATTCACAAATGTTTTCATACAGTGAAATAAATAAATCACAACATTGCATTTTTATGCAATTTGTAAAAGTTTCTTGCCATAAATTAGGTTAAATGTGTATTATTTGTTAAAGCTTCTGGTTTAACAGCAAGCAGCTGGTCAAACTTAAAGCCTATCTGTACTAGTTTACTGGAGGGATTAGACCACCCTGCAAAGTCACTGGACAGGTGGTTATCTCATCAAATCAGCTCTTAATTAACACAAGAAAAAGAGGATCATGAGGGACCGATGTTCACCGATTAGTCATTGTTTGTCATATAAGAGGGCGCAAGTAGCTATAAATAGTGTAGTGGGGCTTTAACAAATGTTTATCACAGTTGTGTGAAATACAATCACCAATATCTGTTAACTTGTGAAAAGATGAAACCAAGTTCATTTAACTAGTATGATGTGCATCAATGAGACTCTTTCATTTGGACAAGTGGCTTCCGTCAATACAGCATACACATCCTTTGTCTTTTCTAAGGTGCCATTGTGTGTAATGTGAGATTTCAGCTTAATCAAAAATTTCCTTACTCAGATGGCTAAGATGATAATCATCCACTTCACTGAACCTTGACAAATCACCTTGAAGCTTTATTTTCTTAGACTCTATCACAACTTCTCATCACATTACCTGACAATCACCCCATGCATCACTTGCTTGAAATCTACTAAAGATATCACGAGGAAGCAGGAACAAAGCAGAGCATGAATGATGTACCCAACATCAACTTCTCTGCTGCGCCACCGAACCTATGCCCGGTAGGTAGCAGGACCTTCTTCAAAACAGACAGCTGACTCAGTAAAGCCACTGCTGAGGGGCTCGATTGTGCCGAACATGGATAATTTACCCCCCTCCTGATTCGGTTGCCACGGGAACAAAAGAGGAACAAGATGGAGGAGCAGATGGTGCACATGGAGAAATCTCATCCGATGGCTTAGGTGGCAACAATTGCTTTCACCATCCCTCGTATCAAAACACTGCAAGGGCATGGAGTCACAATGACAGGCTGAAAATGAGAACCTCAACTTTCCCTGAATGCTACATTAATGCTCTCTCTCTCTCTCTCTCTCTCTCTCTCTCTCTCTCCCTCTCTCTCTCTCTCTCTCTTTCTCACTCACTTTCTCCTCTTCTCTTCTCTCTTAATCTCTTGTTTCTCCCTCTATTTGTCCCAATCCCTTTTCATCTCTATCTTTTTCTCTCTTTGTTTGCCCTCCCACTCCCCCCCCCCCACCCCCTCTCGCACCATCCTTTCTCTTTCGTTCATTTTCTCCCTTACTCTTTCTTACTCTATCTCTCTGTTCAAGCATAGCAACCAAAAGCAAAAATATCCATTCAATATTGCTTTAGAGGTCAAAACAGAAATATATGCCCAAATGTTCAATGTTGAAGTGCATTTGTGATATCTATCCAGGCCGGATCATTAAGATAATTTACCAGATATATCAATTAGTTGGCAGTTTCCTGGCAGAATTTGTATCATCACGTATAAGTCGAAACATATTCTTTCACATGATTGGTAATAAGAGCTTCCATTTCATTTTCTGAGAGGGGGCGTTTCCAAAACTGGTCTATACCTTTAAACAGGAGATGTTTCTTTGTGAGGAAAAAGAATGTTGAAAACTCATTCTGCTGATTCATGGCATGATGGCATGGCATCACAGCATGACACCCAAGGGGAAAACAAAAGCCGGAAGAGAATGTATAATTTGGTTATCACAAGCACTACCGCAACATTGCCAGAGGGAGGGGGGTAACAATACAATGCCCGTTGGATACATGAAAGAATATTATCACAGAAGGGGTGTCATGTCAATGAATGTCTGTCCGTCTATTGGATGATTTTTAATCTAATTTGGATGCCACGCACAAGATCTCCCTTTTCCTCTTCATTCTTTAATGTTAAACCTTACCCATATCCTGTCTTTATGCCTCCGTTACGAAGTAGCCGGAGGCATTATGTTTTCGGGTTGTCCGTCCGTCCGTCCGTACGTCCGTACGTCCGTACGTCCGTACGTCCGTACGTCCGTCCGTCCGTCCGTACGTCCCGTTCTCGTGATCGCGTTATCTGAAGAACCGATTGACGGATTCCTGCCAAACTTTGGTCATGTATGTATCTTGCAGAGCCGATGAACTGATTAGATTTGGGGGTCACGAGGTCAAAGGTCAAAGGTCACAGGGCTCATTATGTATGCAAAAACAGCTCGTGATCGCGTTATCTGAAGAACCGATTGATGGATTCCTGCCAAACTTTGGTCATGTATGTATCTTGCAGAGCCGATGAACTGATTAGATTTTGGGGTCACGAGGTCAAAGGTCAAAGGTCACAGGGCTCATTATGTATGCAAAAACAGCTTGTGATCGCGTTATCTCAAGAACCGATTGATGGATTCCTGCCAAACTTAGGTCATGTATGTATCTTGCAGAGCCAATGAACTGAGTAGATTCTTGGGTCATGAGGTCAAAGGTCAAAGGTCATGGGCTCATTATGTATGCAAAAATAGCTTGTGAACGCATTCTCATTAGAACTGACAGATGGATTACTATTTAACTCGGGACATCTTGCGGAGCCAATGAACTGAGTAGATGTTAGGGTCATGAGGTCAAAGATCAAAGGGTCATATATGTATATGAGAAATTGCTTGTAATCACGATATTCTGAGAACCTGTTAATGGATTACAATTGAACTTGAATTTGAAAAATTTCTTCTGTTTTGGTTTGTAAATTGCTCTATGACGGAGGCATCATTTCGACTGCGCGCAGTCGAAGTTCCATCTAGTTTCTATTTGCCTCTGGTCTCTCCTTATTTTGCACTCCTTTTCTAAACTTCTCTAAGATTCCTACCTCATTAAAACTGCTCCTCTCCACCCTATACTTCTATTCCAGTAAACATAAACTCTATCTTCCAAGAGTCCTCTTATATTTGTTTGGTGCAGTGGAAATACAACACAGTTTTTACGAGTGGAAAGGTCATGTCAAAGTTTATGTCAAAGTTCATGTTGAACTGCAGTAGTCAGCACAGCCTACTATTCTGTCAATGTTCAAGTGCTGAGCTGTCAAACTACTTCAAGAATTACTCTTTGTGATGAGGTTTCCAGAATTCTGATCGCTAAGCTTGCTGTTCATTGAACTTCTGAGGTTCTTCATATTGCTGATGTAGAATATTGGGTGATATATGCAAGCACATGTATTCACTCTCTTCAAACATCGAGAGCACTTTAAATGAGAATGCACTACAACTCAAAGAGAAGACTATAACTTTGTGTTACAGCATATGAGTTAACGCCTTCTGACTCCAAACAGACAATATAATCCAAGCAAAAGCTCTCTAAAAGGCATTTTGCTGGCTAATGTTGAAACGACAACAATCATTTTAATGATTAAAACAATGGAGATACGTGAATAAAGGGAGATAGGAAAAGACAATTGACGTTGAGTCACTTTGCTGACAACTTTTTGATCTCAATACCAAGAAATGTAATAAACGTAAACAAGTAAAGCACTCACAATAACTTGAAGTTCTACATGTATGTAAGGGACCAATGTCCCTTCTCTTACTGTGGACACTAGCACTGGGTTATAAACCCGGTCTCTATTCACTTAAACCTCACGCTCTAACCTGAGTGTACTGTATTGTCATTGATGGAGTGAGATGGCAAACATTGTTATACACGCAATGATGTCAAATCCAGATTCCAAGACCCGGTTCCAACTTGGCAACTAAGGCCTTTCAACAAGCAGTCACCAACATTGTTTGAACACGAGTCAGGCTAAGCAATGCCAAACAATAAAATCAGTGTAAACCATGTTCATAATACATTTAAAATCCTCTACAATTGGATCAAATACAGTTGTTGGTACTAAACAAAACAAGTTACTGCAACTCATTTAGGCATAGGTAGTATGTGGGGAGGAGTGAACTTTGTTTCTTCTTCTCCTCTCTGGAGACATATTTCCAAAAGGCTGGCCACAAAAGCTCTCCCGATTTTTAGATCCCTGCTTAATACACAGACTTGCACCCAAACAACCCAGGCTTGGTTTTGTGAGCTGCTTTCTACTTGCTAGGCTATGCCTGCCGACAATGTGCATTTAGTGTACAGCACTACCAAACCCCTCTTGGAGCACCCTGAGATAGATTCAGAGTTTGGTGCAACAGGGGTTTATCACACACATAGATAACATGTGAAGGAGGTGGATCAAACTCAGTTTGTTTCTCTCCTTGTCTGGAGCCTAAGACCTAGAATCCATAGGCGCGTTTTCATCATCTCGAGATTGCCAAATAGCCCGCTATTTCTGATTTGGGAAATAATCCCGAAGTTACAAATCGCATCTTCATCAGCTCGAGATTCGACCTCGAAACTTGAAACTCGACCTTGAGAAATTAGCTCGAGATATTTTGCTCAGCGTTCGCGCATAGTGCGAGTCTTCGGTCTGGTGAAAATGCACCGGACAAATAGCTCGATATTTAGTGGAATATTTTGCAAACTAGACCGAGATATCTTGGGATATTATCCCGACCAAATATCCTGCTAATTGCAACTTCGGGCTGATGAAGATGCAAATTAGCTGGATAGTTTGCGATCGGGAAAGTTCAAATAGCGGGAAAGTTCAAATAGCGGGATATTTGGCAATCTCGAGTGAAGAAACGCCTATAGATAGCATGCAGGAGGGGGTGGACCAAACTCAGTTTGTGCCTCTCCTTGTCTGGAGCCTAAGACCTAGAATCACAAACACCTGGTATTGCAGGTCTATGGAAATCTGTGGACTTACCAATAAATCCCAGGGAAGAGAATTCCAGGAGAAGCCAATCCTTGGTGCTCTGTTGCATGGCAAAATTCTTCATTGTTGTCAGGTAGCCAGGAACTGCAACTATGTCATCCTCAAGCTGAAAAAACAATCATATATTTCAATGTCAATCTAAAGCGATTTGGTGTTTTCAATCGAGGCACTACACACGATCTAATCATTTGCATACGCCAAAAAAAGTGCATTAAAGTTGTGTCACCTCCCTGATCAAACTGATAAAGGTAACTCCTTTCTGGCTTTGGACATACATGATCATTATTATTATTGAAACAACTGCAGAATATCCTAGTCAACAAGAAATACGACCCTGGCTCTAGGGCCTGACCCTGACCCTACTCCAAACTTTAACTAACCCTGATCCTAACTCTAACCCTAACCTTAATACAATATTCTGATGCGTGGTAGAATATTCTGCATAAGCCTCATCAAACTTGAATTCCAATTTTCACATATTTCACTTTTATACTATGACCAAAATTATGATTGCAGACTGATGTGCCACAGACCGTGGCATAGCGGCAAAATTATGCATTTAATGAATATATGTATATATATATTGTTATTCACGGTCGTATCGAGAAGGACACTTAACTCTATATTAAGGTATAAGGGTTAACACGTCCTTCTGGCATCATACCCAATAATATCACTACACTGCCCACCCAGCAGTCAACTCACCTTCACACACACAAGCTGAGAAGAGTAAGTGTTACATTCTCATACCATGTTCAATACTGAACAAGATATATGACAAGGATAGCCTAACCATTCCTCATCAAGTCATGAAGTGAAAATGTGCAATTTGTTATGTTCTTTGTTTGTTTGCTGGCTGTTTGAATGTCCTTTGACTGTTCATACACATCGGAAAATGCAGAAACAACATAACTCGCTGGTAATTATTGAAGGTGACATTGAAGTCAGATCACTACATGCACATTAATGTGCTGTTGTAGCAACAGCAATGTGTGTTGTGAATTAATAGAGGAAATTCAGTCTGAAAACTGCCTGATTATCAGTATCTTACAGTTGTATCATTCAGTAGGGGTACGCCAATATGTGCCAACTAGGCAAACTAGTTGTTTTAGTTGTAGCAGGTGATTTCAATGAAGAAAGTCTAAATTGTGTGTCAACTATAATGTATTCACAAAGGCTATTTCAGTAATAAAATGCTAAAAAATAAATTTTAATAAAAATTCATTTTTTTTTAATGTATTCTTTCCTTCATTTAAAATTACAACTTATACATCTTTTCCTTCATTTAATCTCTATCTAATTGAGAATCTATGTTAAGCAAGTCCTATTTTTATATTTTAAAAATAGTATTTTTTCTGTTTTATCATTGACAGCATTTAGAAATTAAAAATATTTTTATTTTTTTATTTTTATTTGAACATATGCAGTGGGTGAGGAAGAAATCTGTAGTCCCACATTTTCTCTAATCTATTTTCATTTGGGAGCTACTTCCTTCATGCTTAAGTTTGATAATGTTCCCTTTATATAATTCTTTTAAGGGAGGGGTGTCAATTATTTCAGGTATTCGAACATAGCTGGGTATAACCTTAAAATTCCCATTAATGTTAAGCAATGTCTGATATTTGACTGTTCATGTAAATTTGCAGACTCATTTTCCTCTAATAGGAAAGATATTCATTGAAACTATATGTCAATTATATATATGTTATCCCAGTTCATGTGGAAAACCAAATCATTCTTACTCTTTTCCAAGAGAGAAATGAACACTTTTAGCACTCTCGACCCCTATTCCCTTTATTTGTTTATCAATATTAAGGGAGACATCCAAGTTTGCCAGGGGCCTAGGAGACAATAGGTGAAGCAAGATCCACAAGACTGACTGAGCACCCAAGAGACTGAAGGCCCACGAGACCAATATTTACTATCCATACTTTTCAGTGTCAATAAATGCATCTTACTACTACAAGAAAGAATGCCTGCCAGACTGAATATCATGGACATATACAACAACAGTGCCCTGTTTCATAAATCTTGATATCAGTAACAAGTTACAAGCTACTGTTATAAGCTACTGAAATCATGGCATCTGATTGGCTGAGAGCAAATTTGTCATAGAAACTTAGCAGTTGTTATAGATGACAAGTTTTATGAAACAGGCCCCTGTTCTGTAAACTCAGAAGGGAACAAAGTACAAAAAAGGTTCATTTTTTCCACCCATTTGTGTGTCTTCCGGTTTCATTGTCCTATCATGGTCGAAAGGCCTGACACCATTTTTATTTGCGAATAAATAGTGACAAAAAATTATCCATATGGGCAATCTATTCAAATAGTCATGATGGATTGAATATTTTTTTTACTTGGAAAGGGAGGAGGAAGTTACCACATTGTAGAGGTACTCAGGTTTATCACCAATCATTTCACCATTATTGTACTCCATCTGATTGGTTCATATGGACCTACCCTGATGGTTGAGACTAGCACATGACAAAGTTTGATAAATTGTTGTAGAGGTACTCCAGTATATCACCAATCATTTCACCATTATTGTACTCCCTCTGTTGGGTTCATATGGACCTACCCTGATGGTTGAGACTAGCACATGACAAAGTTTGATAAATTGATTGTTATCGCATGAAGGTAGTGGGTGTCAAGTTTACATATAAATATGTATCCCGAGTGTAAATAAACATATGTCACTTTGATTTCACCCCACTTGTTAACATAGGTAGTGCACTTGCACTACCATATGGTTGAGGATGAACAAGGCATTTGTCAAAGTTTATCTTTAAGTACCTGGTAGGAATTTATTCCTTGAAATGCTAGAGCGCCGTATGGCAGCCGTTCTAAAGCCAGGGTAATAATCGGGAGCACCAGGAGGGTCAAATCTGACTGACATGAGCGCTATACAAGAACCCACTATTATTATTATTATTATAAGATGTAAAAAAACATTGATTCACAGAGATGTACTTGACAGAAAAAGAATACAGGTCTCACATTTTTGTCATCATTTTCTTGTTGATAATCATATTGGTAAACATTCACCCTGATAATATCACATGAAAAGATTTTATAGCATTCCATAAAATATGTAGAGTTATGTATCTGCTGAGATATTTTATATTACTACATGATTAATTTATTCAACCTCCCATTTCTAATGGCTTTGAGGTATGGGAATTTAAAAATATCACATTTAAAAAAAATGATTGATTGTTACTACAAATGGCATTTCATGTTTCATGTCATTATACTTGGATTTAAATGTTTGTTTTAAAGATTATAGTTTTGCCAAGATTTGAATCACATTTCAAAGGCCTTATACATGTTTAAATGTTTCTTTAATTGTCTTACTATTACAGTTTAGATTGTAACTATTTTAAAGTAACCATTATAGTTAATTAAACCCACTACAGAACAACTGATACATGCATTTCTCACTTTCCATTTAGACTACTGTAATGGCCTCCTTCCCACCTTCTTCCTCTTCAGCATATCCAAAATGCTTCCACTCGTCTAGTTACCCGCTCAAGACCTTGCAAACATATTACTCCAATTCTCCGCAATCTCCAATCCACATTCTTCTCCTTGCCTTTAAAATCCGTAACGGTGAATACCCAACGTACCTTTCGTGTCTCGTAAAATCCAACCCCCCCCCCCCCACCCACCAGGTTACGTGCTTCAACTTTCTCTCACTTTCAACTAATTCCTGGCCCTTGTGTGAAAACAAGATACAGCGATAGAGCACTTTTTGTAGCGCCCCCCCCCCCCCCCCCCCCCCCCGGTAGTGGAATAGCCTCCCGTCCTACATCCAAAATGCTCCTTCTATACACACTTTAAAATCCATGTCATGAATTTCTGTTTTCTCTAAACATGTCACAATAGATAAATAAATAAAATAGATATCATACTACTATTATTTATGAATTAAGTCATCTTTACGTGATATAAGATTAAGTTGATTGATTTATTTATCTGTAACATACTTTAATTTATTTGAATAATATTGTGTAATCGTCCCGGCTTTTATTTTGTGTAAGGACAGCGCTTCACTTAATGGTTGCTGGGTCCACAGCACCACTGCGCCTAGAAACAATGTATTAGGCACGTTTTAAATGTGATCTACTATTATTATTATCATTAATCATTTATTCATTCTTCCCCTTAAGCGCTTAGAGACATCTTAGATGTATTAAGCGCTTGATATCAAAGCGGAATATTATTATCATTGTTAAGGAAGTCTGATCATTGCGTGGTCTAGAATCTGAAGAACACAGACTCAAGGTACCCAACTGTGCTGCAGCAATTACACCAAACAATATTGCATGTCTCCAGCAGGGGTAATCATGGAATGTCTTAATATATAAATTGACCACAATTTCAGATAATACATGTATACAAGTAATCTCCCGTCGTCTGATTAGTGACATGACATGAACACAGTCACTTCTCAGCAAGATGTAATCATAATTTAGACGATGCAATCAAAATTTAGAAGATGCAATTCTAATTTAGAAGATACAATCATAATTTAGAAGATGCAATCAAAATTTAGAAGATGCAATTCTAATTTATTAGATGCAATCATACTTTAAAAGATGCAATCAAAATTTAGAAGATGTACATGTAATCCTAATTTAAAAGATGTAATCATAATTTAGAAGATGTCATCATAATTGAGAAGAAGCAATCATAATTTAGAAGATGCAATCATAATTTAGAAGATGTACCGGTAATCACAATTTAGAACATGAATTTATAATTTTAGAAGATGTAATCATAAGTTTAGAAGATGTAATCATAATTTAGAAGATGTAATCCTAATTTTAGAAGATCCAATCATAATTTCGAATGAGCTTTAGCATCTTCCCATTGTAGGATGCTGAGAAATGCCTATCTATTGATTGCAGCATGCCACAGAGCACGCATCATCATTCTCGGCATGTTGTGTGAAAAGAGAGGAGATGAGAGGTGAAATTGAGAAGGAACAAGCCGATACCGAAGCGGCCAACATGAAAATGTTGAGGTGAAGGCAGAGCGACCCCCGCATTAAATTGCTTCGTATCGCGATTGGGACATCCGTGTGTCTGGAGAAGCCATCGCCTG